TAGGCTTTAGAGGCTAGATGGAATTCAAATTCCAGTTCCCTCACTGACCAGCCTACAACTTAGTTTGGTCATTCCTCCTCTCCAGGAATGGTTTCCTCAACAGTGAAGAAAGGCCTTTGAATTTTAGAACAGTGATTTTTAAACTGTTTTTTAAAAATTTGTTTTGTTGTTGTTACGATTATTGGTGGGTGGATTGTTTGCTTACTTGAGGATCCCCTTTTGGAACTCTATGTAGTATTTAGAGGTGTACACAAATACTACAGGTTAAAATGGCATTGTTTTAATCTGGTTGGAGGTGGGTGGAAGTGAGGGTAGGGAAGTGGGTTTGGGGGTGGTACAAAGCCGGTCCAACTACCCATCCCTTCCCCTACTGCCACCTCACCCTGGGAGCCTTTGAGGTCCTAATGACAAACTTGTAGTCCATAGTTTGAAAATTCTAGAAGTTTGCTACAATTATTCTGCCACCTTCAGAAGCACTGTTCTCTCCTGTGAACTGTGACATTTATCCTTGCTCTCTTCCATGTTACATTTACCATGCTACTATCTGGACTGGAAGGAATGGGATATATCTTTTTAGATCCAAGCTCTAGTACAAAACCTTCACCTAATAGTTCGCTTACTGTGAAAGTTAACTACACACATTGATTTATTATTGTCATACCGAACTAAATCAGATTCAAGGGGCAAGGGGGAAAATGACTAGGGGCACATAACAGCTACCCCAAGAATTGTCCACATGTCCAGTTGCTGAAACAAACTGCTGAGACTCTAAGATTAATTTTACCTACCACCGTCACTCACCAATCAGAGCTTGCCAGCCCCCCGAAACTTTGCTAGTGCCAATGAGTTTTCTTTCAAAATAACATTTCTCTTTCCAGTGAAACTCCCAACCTTCTCTTTGTTCTTCAGACATACTGAAGACCACCCCTGTGTTTGTGTATGACTCAAATTGCAATTCTGGGATTCCCAAATGAAAAAGTGAGTTTAGAGATTCTTCTTTATATTTTCTTTGACTTTGACCTTGGCAAATGTTTCTTGATGATGACCACTGGGGCCAGGACCTCCAGCAACTTCCTGGAGGAGATGGCCCATAAGTCGGGCTTGGGGAGAATTTGAATTAGTGGGCAGGAGGTCATTGTTTCTGATTAGTGGAGGTTATGCAGGGATGACAGACAGAGGAGGTCATGCAATGGGTAGTTCTTAAGAGTTGTTTGGGACACAGGGAGATAGAAGGTATGGGAAACAGGTATGGAGCCCAAGAGTGGAGTAGCTCAGCTATGACCTGCGATGGCCTAAAGCCAGAAACAGAAACTATCATAGTATATCTTAAATTAATTCCGTAGCGTAGCATCCTTAGCAAGATATTCCAGGAAGATAATTGGAACTGGCTAGTTTCCAGGTATCTTTAGATCAAACAAAATGTGAGCGGCCTCTAAGTCAAAATTTTTCTGGACGTTTCCAAGGGCACATCCCACATTCCCTATTTTCAGCACAAGCCTACACTGCATTTCAGATCCAGGTGAGAAGGTGATGATTGCTCCAGTGTGGGAACACTGCACCAGGTAACTGCACTGGCTTGGCTAGAGGCACGAGCCAGCTGCTGGCTGTTGGTGGGAGTATCCTGCCCTCTGCTGGATTTGGCGGGAAACATGAATTTGCATTGTCTGCTAAAGAATGAATTAAGGCTGAAAGCTTTTAGAACTGAAAATAAATATTTGCTTGTGTGTTGATGAGGTTTAATTAACTTGGGAATGCATTCCTTAAATGGCATTGGGATTCTCAGGTAATTTCCAGGTATCAAGGAAAAAAATCATTTTATATAACATACAGACCTCTTGTTCAGTAAATTTGGGTGCATAATATAAAGTGCCAGCATTTTGTTCTGTAAAGAATAAAAGCTGCATCTATAATAATTCTTAAAGTATTCACATAGTGTTGTAATTTGATGAAAGAATCCCCAGAGTACAGTTAGACTGTTGGGGTTTATGTATTAATTCTGCAAGATACTAAATCTCTCTGAGACTCAGTCTTTTTATCTGTAAAAAGATGCCATACTCACCTTGAAGGGTTGCTGTGAGGATCCAGTGAACTAAGAATATTTGCAGGAGTACTTCACTATGCCCACTAAAAGTATGTGGTTTTAAATATACATGCTATGCACAGGTTAAATTATTGATTTCCCTAAGTTTATTTTGAGTAAAACTGAAAAACAGACATCAATGTTTCAAATCTAGATAATGACAGGACTCTTCCTAAAATATTGAAAGAGATCAGCAGCCCCTAATTTTTGCAAAAGGCTTTGAAGATAGGACAACTTTTTACTAAGTAGTATTTATTTCCAACTGCTTGTCATTCTGTTCTGTGCAATCAATAGAAATATCCCTATTTCTCACTTTCATAAAGAGAAAAATGGCAGAACCTAATTGTAAGGATAATCTTTTCCAGCAGCCATTCCCTTGGTTTCCTCTCCTCCTTTTCTTTTTTGTTCTGGATCCTTCCCTGTCCCTTTATTCTGTTCTCTTCCTATGTAAGTTGAAACTAGAAATAAGCAGTTTCAGCTTGCATTGTCATTGCTGTTGATGTTTAGCCATTTTTCATCCTCCTGTAGCAGTTCCACAGGTATATAGTTTTCCCTTCAGTGCTATTATTATATTTGGAGTAGACAGAACATGGCCCAGGCTCTGAAGTTTTTTGCTATCTAAGGTGTGAGAAGCTGGGTAATAATGGTATTATTAATGTGGCACCTTTTTAATACAGAATAATAGATCTGCTTTTAACTTAATAATTTATTTAATTGATTTTATTCTCTTTATTAGCAGCTCTGCTTAATAAAAAGATTTTTTTAAAATCCCATTTGTGCAACCAGCTGAAGAGTAAACCCAAGTAATTGATCACCTTGCCCTCATTAGTAAGTGCTATATTGATGTGTTCTTGAAAATCCACATTCAACAAAGATTTATACTAGTTGCTGAAGATATGAAGGAATAAGATATGATCTCTATACATGATATATTTTGGGAATAAATTGGCTAAGAAGACATCATGTGCTCTTGAAGAATGAAGTTTTTCAGGTAGAAAAGGTGTGTGTGTGTGTGTGTGTGTGTGTGTGTGTGTGTGTGTGTGTCTACTGGAGCTGGGCAGGGGCAGGCTTCAAGAGAGGATACTAGGTAAGAATCACATACTATTATGAAAACCTATGCTGCGGCCAGAGTGATAAGGAGGATGAGGATGAGGCTGAGACTGGAAAGGTACTTAGGGGCCAAAGGACGGTGCTACTTAAATGCTAAGATATGGAGCTTGAATTTCATGGGGTATGTGTGGTAACCAATACATTTGAGTGTTGGATCAATATTATACATCCATTATATTCTGTTTTGTCAGAGAAGTATTTATTAGAGAGGAATGTTGGGTTTTAAGTGGCATTACCATTCTCTATAACTTTAAAAATATATGTAAATGTCTAAGTGAGAACCACAACAGCCTCTATGTTCAGTCCAAACTAGGGTGGGTTAGTGACTCCCTGTGTAACCCAGGGTTCCAGGGTTTTGGGTATGCACTGTGAGGAAATCCCCACTTGTGACTGTTGTATCTTGAGTTCTTATTTCAAAAAGCCCTGGGAAGAAGCTCAGCCCTGGAAACACTAAAACTGGTTGGATCCAGAGATGCCTGAGTTGGAGATGAACTTTGGCCAACTCTCCTCATTAACCATAGTAACAAACCCTGCTCAGGGAGGAGCTTATTTGCCATTTTCTGTACACGCAGTGTATGTAGAAGCATGATCAGCAGGCAACTGCCCTGCCTTTACATCACTTCCACATACAATGACTCAGCTAACCAGCCTAATACAAGCCCTGCTTTTACTGTTGTTCCTGGAGGCACTGCCTGGGGAACTATCCCAGATGTCCTCCTTCCTTGTTGCAAATAATAAAATCTCCCTCTTAAATCCTCCATGGTTGTGGTCATTGGACTGTCAACTGCCTAGCAATTTATCCCACCTGTTGTGTGGGTAACACCTGAACAGACTAGAATCCTTAGCTTGCATCTTTAAAAGACAACACCTTGAGCCCCTTTCGATTCATCAAAAAGTCATGCATTTTTTAAAAGCAGCCACCAGCCTCTTCTGTCCAATTAGTCTTAGACAACATATACTCTAAAATATCTGGAGTCCGATGCCTAAGGAGAAGAATTTAGAAACGGCGTCAACCACTTTCTATATCTGACCTGCCATTTTGTCACAATAAAAGGGAGATCATAAAAAGACCCATGGATAAAGGCTCTCTGCATCACCAAACATGCTTGCTCACCTAATTAATGATTTAAAATATATAGATTATTTATATAAACTATTCGGCACGATATTACTGATCTTAACTCTCCTTATTCACTATGGCAGTTCCACAGACTTTGAAAGAGACAAAGATTGCACACACTAAAGCTTGTTTACAGCATCTTAAAAGAAAGCACTTTGAATTGCTATTCCCCAGTTCCTAAAGTGGTAATGAGATTTATAGGTGACTTTAAAAGTTTTTCCTTTGTCTGTTCGCTTAGCACTTAGCGCATTATAGGCATTCTGAAGAATGGAGCACATTCCATTAAACAATTTGGGCAAAAATAAAGTGTAAATAAACATAATAACTAGTGTAGCCAGGTGCTTAGTGCCCTAACTGGGTTGGCAAAAGAACATGGAGTAGTGTGAGAGCCCATAGGAGCTCCTTCACCTCCAGTGCCCAGCACATAGTAGGTATGCAATAAATAGCCAAGGAATAATGAAACAATGAATGCATTCTTTTTTTCCTAGTCACTTTGCTTGCAGTAGTTATCTTAAGGGTGTAATAAAGTAATAATTGCTTCATGACTATGTGAGCTCATAAGTTAATGTTTGCAAAGTGCTTTGAACTTCTTGGGAAAAAGGATGGTGTTTTTGTTGGCACTGTGTATTGTTTGCAGTGGCACACAAATTCCTCCTCCTCCTCTTCCTCCAGCTGCCAGCAATGTGCCCTCCCCCAGCTCTGTGCAGAGCCAGTGTCTCCCACAGGGCAGCCTCACGGCCTTTACTGCCTCTCTCCAGCCAGCTCCAGCACTACAGGACAGGTAGGGACACAGCAAACATCGAAAAGATTTCTTTAAGGCCAGCGAGGAGAAATGAAACTTGGGTCGATACTAATGATTCTTACAGGGATTGGTGTTTAGAGGGATGCAGATGCTTGGCCACCCCTGGACGGAGCTATTGGACAGACAGACTCATCTGTGAGGACACATCAAGCTAGATCCTGAAGGGGAGATAGAAGTGTTATATAGGCAATTGGGGGTATGTGTGGAAGCAGCTGTTTTTTCAGTTTTATGTGGCCCATATACATAATACAAAACCTTGGCTAGTAACTGGCAGCAAAATGTTACATAGTTCTGTTAGTAGGAACCCATAAGATAAGCCAGATTTCTTTTATATGAGTACAATTTTCAACTGCTATGATTTCCTTCCCCACTATTTTCTTCATATTTGATGATGGCAAATAACGGAGTTCTGTGTCACATATGATTGGCCAAGGATGCAATAGTTTCCAATGCATTTGTAACTATTGTTCAAATTACCATCATTGTTAGGAACTTCATAATTAAACAACTCACATGTGATTTGGAAAACAAAAGCTATGTTTTCTGTTAAGAATGGATGTCCTTTGTGAACAAATTCAAGCAAAGGAGTTTTTTTTTCTTTTTGTGTTACACCAGGTTAACTTTCAACTGATCACACATGATAAATATCTCAAAATAAAACAGGGAGAGGCAGTTACAGGTTCAGAATAACTAGAATGACTATCGGAGGCAGATCTTGCCTTAAAGGCAAGAACACCTCCAGTTTTCCACAAGTTGGAAGTGACTTGTTTTCCAGACCATATCATGAGCTTTTCTATGTGTGTGGAAAATTTTTCATGTTAATTGCTGTACATGTGGCAAATTTGCTCTCTCTACAAATTATTTCTAGGGGCTGGAATTAAATGTCACGTGGAAAAAAGCCAACATGGCATTGTTAAGAAGATAGGCAACCTAAGTGATGTCTATCCTGCTTCAAAGAAAAAACTCTAAGTCTGACTTTAGTTGAACCACATGAAGTTAACCAAGAGTAAGGCTTAAGGTTTTGTTTTTTTAAAAAATATATATATAGAAGGAAACTCCTTCCAACTAAAATACACTCATTATTTACCCGAAAACAAAAGTAGGTGGAGCTGAATTTGTAGTTAGATTATAGTAAGTAGCATTTGAAACCCGGAAAGCTGAGTCCACATGAAAGTCACAAGTACAACATTTATTTGGGAGTAACTCCAGATAAGAAATGGTTTCTGGCCGGGCGCGGTGGCTCAAGCCTGTAATCTCAGCACTTTGGGAGGCCGAGATGGGCAGATCACGAGGTCAGGAGATCAAGACCATCCTGGCTAACACGGTGAAACCCCGTCTCTACTAAAAAATACAAAACACTAGCCGGTCGTGGTGGCGGGCGCCTGTAGTCCCAGCTACTCGGGAGGCTGAGGCAGGAGAATAGCGTGAACCCAGGAGGCAGAGCTTGCAGTGAGCTGAGATCTGGGCGCTGCACTCCAGCCTGGGCAACAGAGCAAGGCTCCGTCTCAAAAAAAAAAAAAAAAAAAAAAAAAAAACGAAAGAAAGAAATGGTTTCTTTCGTCACCTGATTCAGTATAAGATGAATTTTTTATTTGTACAGAGCTTGAGAATCACATAGGCATCATCGAATTTTTCTTTTTTTTCCAATCTCTATTTGTGAGTATTTGATACTAGATAGTTTGTCCATGTCCTGAAATAAATGGATGAGAACTCACTTCAGGGAAGATGAGGTAAGCAGTCTGAATTAGGGGGAGGCTGTATTTCCTTTTTCATTATGTTAATGACCTGTTGCATTTCAGAAGGCTGTACATTTATTTAGAGCAGAGTAGACAAAACCTCCTATGCTCTGGCTTGGGAACCAGGAGGAATCACTGACTGAGATTTGCCAACCAGAGTTCTATGGTAGGTTTGAGTTTGAATGGTGTGGGTTGATTCTCATTATTCATTACTTCCTTTGATCTTGGGGAGGGGAAGAAATTAACAAATTTTAATGCAGTGTTATATATTCAAATAAATATCATATTGAGGAAATTATTGCTGGAAAGTTTTTATTCAAGTGTTTAATGAGTAAGCTGACTGACTCATCTAAGTATTTTGGACTTCTACTTGTTGATACTAGGTTTCGCCTATTTTTTCTTATATCAGTGGATTTGCTATGGGGATATCTTATGTCAAGGCAGATGCTGAGTTTATGACATTTAGACATCTATTTTTGATAATGGAAGGGTTCAATACATGCAAGAGTATGACATCAACACAAGGAGAAGGGAAGAGACAAGAGATTGGTCTAGGAAGTTGAAGGTTCTTATTAAGAAAAAAGAAAGGAGAGAGATGGTGAAAAGTCAATTTTACATTGGTTAAGCACTAGAACTCAAACATGATATTCTAATGATGAAGACAGGTTGAGTTGGCTCATGGGAGTGTGTGTGTGTGAAAGAGAAAGAGAGAGAGGGAGGGAAGGAGAGAGGGAGGGAGGGAAGGAGAGAGGGAGGGGAAGAGAGAGAGGGAGGGAAGGAGAGAGGGAGGGGCAGAGAGACAAAGAGAGAGAGAGAGAGAAAGAGAGAGAGAGAGAATTGATTATTTTCTTATCTGTATCTACTCCAGCCTTTCTCAGGACAGGAACCCTGTCCTTTCACCTCTGTATTATCTGCAAAGAATAGAAAATCAACAAATATTTTAATTGAATAGAGTATCTCTTTTTGTGGCTGCTACCAAAAAGATCAGCAGTTGCTGATCTTTTATGTGCTTTCTGTGACATAGGGCTCGGAACTCAGCCAGAGGCAGCTGAAACTTCATCAAATAAATTGTCAGTCAAAAGGTGAGCTTTGAGTGTATCACAAAGTTTTCTCTCAAATCCAGATCATATCCGAGTTACATTTTAGGGCTAGACCACCAGAAGTCAGGGCATTGTCTCTGGGGAGACTTTGTTAAATACACTTGAGGTGCCCTGTAAGAAAGACACAGGACAGAAGATCTCAACTTTTAAGCATGTAACCCCCACTGGATGGTATTCAAGCACTAGTTCCTGGGTCTTGCTTCTTGTGATTCTGGTTCAGTAAGTATGAGGTGGGGGGATGTGTTTCCCTGGGAATCTATATTTTGTAAAAGATGCTGGTGTTGAAGGATCTCAATTTTGAGAAACATTTCTGGGGTTCTCTAGCTTGTTTATCTCATTAAAGGCTTATGAGCTCAGAACACATCAGGAACCTGGCTCTGAGAAAGGCTCAGGACAGCTGGGTTGAGGGGCAGTGCCTGTGTCTCAGGGACTTGTGTTTGAACACACTGTGGCATTGGAAAAGGCATCTTTCTCTTTCTAAGGTTCAAGTATTTTCTTTCTGAAAGAGGAGAACAGTATTGTCTACCTCGTGGGATTTGAACAAATCATGCATGCAAAGTGGGTTAGCAGAGTGACTGACATGTATTGAATTAGTAATTGTTAGCTCTTGCAGTGGGAAGAGAAGAGGGATGCCAGTAACAAGTCCTCTGTGACCAGGAAAAATGGTTTGGGGCAGACAGACCCAAGGCATCACAATAGAGGAGGTTAGCTATGGGATCTTGAGGATGCAGGGGCAGTGTCTAACGGTAAATTCTAGACCTAACGATGAATAAACATGAGGACAGGAGACACACTTTCTCACTATAACAAGTTTTTTCCCAAAGTGGTAATGAGCAACCCAGATGGCACAGTTAATTGGAATTATAATTGATCCCACATGGTATTTAAGTCAATAGTTTAATTGATTTTTCTCAGGACAACAATTATGAGAACTTCTAAAGAGAACAAAGTGAAATGCATAAAATACTGTGACTGTTTCATATTTGCTAACCCCGGTAGGGTATGGTGGCTCACGCCTGTAATCCCAGCACTTTGGGAGGCCGAGGCGGGCGGATCATCTGAGGTCAGGAGTTTGCAACCAGCCTGGCTAACATGGTGAAACCTCATTTCTACTAAAAATACAAAAAATTAGCCAAGTGTGGTGGTACATACCTGTAATCCCAGCTACTTGGGACGCTGAGGCAGGAGAATCGATTGAACCTGGGAGGTGGAGGTTTCACTGAGCCGAGATCACGCCATTGCACTCCAGCTTAGGCAACAAGAGCAAAACTCTGTCTCAAAAAAAAAAAAAAAAAAAAAAAAATACCATATTTGCTACCCCCTCTGCATGGAAGGAAGAATGAATAAAGAGAATAATGGTCAAAGAGGGGAGGGAATACAGGGATCACAAATCAAACAGACTTTCATGAGTCAAATACTTGTCTGGTCATTCAGTGCAATGTTAGGTGGTGTTGAATCAGATGGTGAGGCCAAGTACTTCCCCGAAATGAAGTACCAAGAGCAGAGGACCCAATACTGGTATCTTAGGTGCCTTCCTTAAATGACAAAGATGAAATTTGGCGGCACATAAATGTATGGTATGATAGAAACATCCAGCAAACAAATAGATGGGGCATATGAAGGATGAAGAATGAGTGGGGCTGAGGTAGGATCGGATGTCCCTGAGCATATCATGTAGCCTCCTTTGGCCTAAATGTTCCCTCTGAGTGCCCTTTCAGTCCTGATACAATGTTATAAGCCATATAGCATGGGACAAAACCCATCACTTTATATTTTTCTTACCTACAGAGTAGTCCATAAACTAGGGCAGCTAAGTTATTGTGAAATGCTAGCTACTTTGAGGAATTTTGTTTACCCTGAATTATGATTTTTTTTCATAAGCCAAAATTTCCACTTAAATATATTTTTACCAGTACTATTTTGACTCTGGATCTCTCTGATATCTTTTCTGTAAATAATCACCTTAATAGGTGGTAATTATGAATAAATGATGAAGAAAAAATGCTAGCAACAGTAGCCACTGTTTTTCAAGTGCCTATCATCTGCTAGGTCATATTTCATCATTAATCCTGTCAGTAACCCTGTTAGAAGGCATTACTGTGGCCATTTCCCATGTGGATTCTGAGAGGTCACAGAGGTAGTA